GCCTCAACAAAAATGTTGGAGTGAAAGTATAAAGAAATTTTTTTTTTGAATGCTTCACTCTTGTGCCTAAATTGGTATTATTTATCTTATTACATTTATTCATTGAATATAATTATATTAACATGACTATTAATTATTTGTTTATGTGTGCTCACTCTTTGATACATATACTTGTTGAGTATGATTTCATTTGATGTCTCTTTTCTAGTGTTGATACAATCTTGTTGATTGCTATAAATATTACTTGTATCATATTTACATACTTGATATATGTGAATGATTAGATTGATTATTTATCATATATAGTTTATAATGAGCTCTTGATGGTATAAATGATTTTCAATGTCGTGTGTCATTTTGAAGATGGTTGATGATTTAATTTAAATGAGTAATTTTAATAACTTTTCTTACTTTACATGGTTTGTCTCATTCAAATTTACTTGTCTCATTATTTTCATAATTTTAATGATAGCACTTGGAAGTTAAGCATGCCCTTAGAAAGAGTTTTACACTTGAAAGTTAAGTATATTAAGAAATTGGTATGTTTGCTTTGTGATGGGTGATTTTGATGATATTTGATTATGTGCAAGTGTATGTCATGCACTTGAATGCTTGCATAGTCATGGTTGATTTTAATAAATAAGATTTTTTATATTTACTATCATATGATATGTTGTATATAAAGAGGAGTAATATGTGGTATTCGATGAGACTAACCCCATTTGCTCTAGAAAGAGTTGTGAAATTGTGATGTAGATGTAATTGGGTAACAAACATAAGAATGAACACTGAAGGCAATAGCATCACATAACCTCCATGTGAAGCAAGTGAGAAGAACAAGATTGAAGAGATGCAACAAGCACAAAAACAAAGGTTATAATTCTACCCAAAAAAGAGATCTTATAAAGGTAGTGTAATAAATGGTAATACATCTCAAGAGTAAGAAATATACATGTTGTACTTAATGAGGGCATTAACATTGTTTTTGGTGCTACTAATGAGTTTTGTTGCAAAGAATTTTCCAAAACAATGTTAAGTAAACTTAAGACAATTAAATGTATTGGAACTTCAAATGAAATTATCCCAAAGATGAGATCTTCACCAATTAAAGGAAACATACAAAGGAGATGCACAAGCAATGGTCTCTCTAATGAGGTATTCAATTGCTTTAACAATATTGGAGGTAAACCTATGGATTTCAAACTCTTTATGAGCTTGGTGGATATATATTGGTTTATCTTGAGTGCATATCACATTTGTGCTAGTTCATTTATCTTTTATTGATCTTTATGACTTTTTGATTGTCTATGATTTTGATGATTAGATTCTTAAGTGCTTCTATTGAGGGGGAGCAATTTGTGGATATTATGCTTACATTACCTATTTTTGATGCTTTAAATGTTGATATGCATGAATTAAGGGGGAGTTTATTGATTATGTTTATATGCTTTTTGATGGACGGCAAAATGGGGAGAGAAAGTATGCTGAATTCTTATGATTTAATGTCATTTTCTAGAGTGTCTTGGTACTAAACTTTCTAGTTAATATTGAAGTATGTATATGCTTTCATTAATTCATTCTCAAAGTGTTTTATCATCATCAAAAAGGGAGAGATTGTTGTACCTATGATTTTGATGATTACAAAACACATTTGAGCGACTAATTGGTTCATTTAAGTGTGTAGTTAAACTGCTAAAAGATAACAAAGTAAGTAAACTAGGATTGCACTCAAAATGGACCAAAAAGGTTGGACTATGTAGAGAGCCGGCTTAAAGAAATCTACAACTGGCTCTAGAAGGTAAAATTGTAGAGAGCCAACTCTAGAAGCTGCAACTGGCTTTACGGGTGAAAATTTCAAGTCCGTTGTTTGACGCTCACAGAAAACAGACACAAAGCCAGCTTTGACTTTGCCACCGGCTATAAGGGCACATTAAATACACAACAGTTAAGTTATTTGAAGATTATTTAATGTTTTTGAAGTTAGAATCCGAAAGCCGGCTTTAGATTTTGCAGCTAGCTGTTGAGGAAAACAGAATGTGTAGGAAATTTGAAAAGTCGGCTTTACGTTTTGTAGTTGGCTCTACGGAGAAAACAGAGCGTGCAAGAAACCCACAAAGCTGACTGTAGAATTTTTAAGCCGACTGTATAGAGTCGGCTTTAGGCTTTAAGTTGGCTATACTGACAAATTTGCAACTTGAAATTGTGTGACCTCCAGAGCATTTAATGAACCCCAACGGCTAGTAACGGCCATTTTCGACCATGGGGTTATAAATATGGTTGGTAAAAGATCTGGAATAGGTTTGAAGAGCATTGTATTGAATATCTTTACCTACCAACTTGTGCTTTAACTTGAGATTTTGATCTTTGAGAGATCTTTACTTGTAATCCTCTTCTTGTTCTATTTGTGAGTGATCTTCGGGATGTGATTCTTCTTTCAAGAGTGATTTGTAAAGAGGATAATGGGTGAGATTTGATAGAAATACTCATCTTCTTATAAAAAGATTGAGTGACTCCTTTAAGCCACCTTGTTCTTGATAGTGGAGAGTGTGGAGGAAATCCTTGATGAGTGAAGCAAAGGTAAAGGACTAGGCTCCAAGTGGTTGGATTGAACCTCTATAAAATTATTGAGCAAGCTCTTCTTCCTTACTCTCTTTAATTCTTTGTTTTGTGGTTGCAAAGAGGAGCAAATTTTTGAACTCCAATTCACCCCCCTCTTGGAGTGCATTGAGCCAACAACTTACCTCATCCAAGGTAGTTCACCTTAGAATGGGCTATCATGAGGATAAGCTCAAGCAATTCAGTTCATCTAAGGTTATTTACCTCATTCAAGGTAGTTCACCTTGGAATGGGTTGCCATTAGGATGAGCTCAAGCATTCTGAGTTTATCTGAGGTTGTTTACCTCATCCAAGGTAGTTCAACTTGGAATGAGCTACCATTAGGATGAGCTCAAGCATTCTGAGTTTATCTGAGGTTGTTTACCTCATCTAAGGTAGTTCACCTTGGAATGGCTATTGATCTCGGACTATCATGACATTCTTTTATATATATATAAACTTTTATTTCCTATCAAGCTATCTTTAAATGAATTCACTTAATTTGTTGAGTTTTATGAACTGGTCTAAGTTCCTAAGTCAGCACGTGAAGTTCCTATTGTTAAAGTCTGAGGTTGACCATATTATATGAGAAGGATATAGATATATACACATATATATCTTTAGCTTAGTATCATAGTTAATAATTGTAACTAAAGTAAATTATGAAGCTGCACTTTTTAATCATAGGTTCCTATTATAAGGCATAATATATGACTCTTTTCCCCCCTCAACCCGCACATTTTGGGGCTGGTAAACATAAATGTTGTAATTGTAAATTACATTATTTGCATTTTTTATGCTTCAACATGTCCAATAAACGAGCAGTCATGCATGTTGTAATAAAAAGTCTTTTAGCTTGTAAATACAACAACAAAAATTGGACATGCAAAATAACTCGTAAAAATCTTATATGTGTAAAGAAATTTTGAAATTTCTAACATGTAACATTTACTTGATTTGCTGAGTAGAATTAATTTATATTTGAGGGAAGAATTGCACCCAATGAGATAGAAGCTTGAGAAAGAATTTAGCTTCTCATGGACAATGTTAACTCCCTTTTGCCTTGACTTAAGAGCAAACAATGGAGAAAGAATCTAGCCTCTCAT